CCATGTGGTTCTAGTATCATGGGCCCAACATGGGAAGCCCATGTGGGCTGACCACATTGAACCCACATGACATCAGCATGGGCTGACCATATATGGGTTAGACCTGGGTGTGGATATGTAGGCCCCAGTCCTTTTTTAAGTGGGCTATCTGGGAATGGGATAGTACTGGGCAACAGTATATGGGGCCCATGTGGTTTCAGTATCATGGGCCCAACATGGGAAGCCCATGTGGGCAGACCACATTGAACCCACATGACATCAGCATGGGCTGACCATATATGGGTTAGACCTGGGTGTGGATATGTGGGCCCCAGTCCTTTTTTAAGTGGGCTATCTGGGAATGGGATAGTACTGGGCAACAGTATATGGGGCCCATGTGGTTTCAGTATCATGGGCCCAACATGGGAAGCCCATGTGGGCTGACCACATTGAACCCACATGACATCAGCATGGGCTGACCATATATGGGTTAGACCTGGGTGTGGATATGTAGGCCCCAGTCCTTTTTTAAGTGGGCTATCTGGGAATGGGATAGTACTGGGCAACAGTATATGGGGCCCATGTGGTTTCAGTATCATGGGCCCAACATGGGAAGCCCATGTGGGCTGACCACATTGAACCCACATGACATCAGCATGGGCTGACCATATATGGGTTAGACCTGGGTGTGGATATGTAGGCCCCAGTCCTTTTTTAAGTGGGCTATCTGGGAATGGGATAGTACTGGGCAACAGTATATGGGGCCCATGTGGTTTCAGTATCATGGGCCCAACATGGGAAGCCCATGTGGGCTGACCACATTGAACCCACATGACATCAGCATGGGCTGACCATATATGGGTTAGACCTGGGTGTGGATATGTGGGCCCCAGTCCTTTTTTAAGTGGGCTATCTGGGAATGGGATAGTACTGGGCAACAGTATGTGGGGCCCATGTGGTTCTAGTATCATGGGCCCAACATGGGAAGCCCATGTGGGCTGACCACATTGAACCCACATGACATCAGCATGGGCTGACCATATATGGGTTAGACCTGGGTGTGGATATGTGGGCCCCAGTCCTTTTTTAAGTGGGCTATCTGGGAATGGGATAGTACTGGGCAACAGTATGTGGGCCCATGTGGTTCTAGTTTCATGGGCCCAACATGGGAAGCCCATGTGGGCTGACCACATTGAACCCACATGACATCAGCATGGGCTGACCATATGGGTTAGACCTGGGTGTGGATATGTGGGCCCCAGTCATTTTTTAAGTGGGCTATCTGGGAATGGGATAGTACTGGGCAACAGTATGTGGGGCCCATGTGGTTCTAGTATCATGGGCCCAACATGGGAAGCCCATGTGGGCTGACCACATTGAACCCACATGACATCAGCATGGGCTGACCATATATGGGTTAGACCTGGGTGTGGATATGTAGGCCCCAGTCCTTTTTTAAGTGGGCTATCTGGGAATGGGATAGTACTGGGCAACAGTATATGGGGCCCATGTGGTTTCAGTATCATGGGCCCAACATGGGAAGCCCATGTGGGCTGACCACATTGAACCCACATGACATCAGCATGGGCTGACCATATATGGGTTAGACCTGGGTGTGGATATGTAGGCCCCAGTCCTTTTTTAAGTGGGCTATCTGGGAATGGGATAGTACTGGGCAACAGTATGTGGGGCCCATGTCGTTCTAGTATCATGGGCCCAACATGGGAAGCCCATGTGGGCAGACCACATTGAACCCACATGACATCAGCATGGGCTGACCATATATGGGTTAGACCTGGGTGTGGATATGTGGGCCCCAGTCCTTTTTTAAGTGGGCTATCTGGGAATGGGATAGTACTGGGCAACAGTATGTGGGGCCCATGTGGTTCTAGTTTCATGGGCCCAACATGGGAAGCCCATGTGGGCTGACCACATTGAACCCACATGACATCAGCATGGGCTGACCATATATGGGTTAGACCTGGGTGTGGATATGTGGGCCCCAGTCATTTTTTAAGTGGGCTATCTGGGAATGGGATAGTACTGGGCAACAGTATGTGGGGCCCATGTGGTTCTAGTATCATGGGCCCAACATGGGAAGCCCATGTGGGCTGACCACATTGAACCCACATGACATCAGCATGGGCTGACCATATATGGGTTAGACCTGGGTGTGGATATGTAGGCCCCAGTCCTTTTTTAAGTGGGCTATCTGGGAATGGGATAGAACTGGGCAAAACTATGTGGGCCCATGTGGTTTCAGTATCATGGGCCCAACATGGGGAGACCATGTGGGCTGACCACACTGAACCCACATGACATGAGCATGGGCTCATGTCATGGGCCCAACATGGGGAGACCATGTGGGCTGACCACACTGAACCCACTGTGGGTTCAGTGTGGTCAGTACATATCCACGCCCAGGTTGGACCTGGGTGTGGATATGTAGACCCCAGTCCTTTTTTAAGTGGGCTAAATGAGACAAAATTGTAGAACAATGTACAGGGGTTGGACAATGAAACTGAAACACCTCTCATTTTAGTGTGGGAGGTTTCATGCCTGAATTGGACTAGCCTGGTGGCCAATCTTCATGAATTGCACATTGCAACAGTAAGAGCAGAGTGTGAAGGTCCAATTAGCAGGGTAAGAGCACAGTTTTGCTCAAAATATTGCAATGCACATAACATTATTTGGGACATACTGGAGTTCAAAAGAGGGCAAATTGTTCACCAAGACAGCAAGTCTTTGTGATTATCAAGAGCCACAGTATCCAGGGTAATGTCAGCATACCACCAAGAATGACGAACCACATAACAGGATTAACTGTGGATGCAAGACGAAGCTGTCTTAAAGAGATGTTTGGGTGCTAACCCGGATTGTATCCCAAAAACATAAAACCACGGTGCCCAAATCACGGTAGAATTAAATGTGCACCTCAACTCTCCTGTTTCCACCAAAACTGTCCGTCGGAAGCTCCACATGGTCAATATACACAGCCGGGCTGCTATAGCCAAACTTTTGGTCACTCGTATCAATGCCAAACGTCGGTTTCAATGGTGCAAGGAGCGAAAATCTTGTGCTGTGGACAATGTGAAACATGTATTGTTCTCTGATGAGTCTACCTTTACTGTTTTCCCCACATCCGGGAGAGTTACGGTGTGGAGAAGCCCCAAAGATGCATTCCAGCCAGAGTGTTGTATGCCAGAGTGAAGCATGGGGGTGGATCATTGATGGTGTGGGCTGCCATATCATGGCATTCCCTTGGCCCCATACTTGTCCAAGACGAATTGATGCTGTATTGGCCTCAAAAGGAGGCCCTACACCACGCTAATAAGTTATTGTGGTCTAAAACCAGGTGTTTCAGTTTCATTGTCCAACCCCTGTAGTTAACCTGTCACTTTCAAAATTTTGACTGTATGTCAAAGCAAAAGCTGCAAGAGCAAGATTCTCAAAACTTGGAAAGAATTACCCGAGATGTCAGCTTTATAGTCTTTGCCAAGGCAATTGTTACTCAGCTGGCCTCTAATGGAGTTGATGTAAGGTAAATTGTAGAATTTAATTTTTTCCTTGTAGGAAACCTCGACGATAGTAAAGGTTGGTGACCTTGACCATTGTCGAGGTCTCCAGGACGAAGGTGACCTCGTCTTGGAGATCACCCAAGGATATATTTTGCTGATAGAACAGAACATCCATGTCTTCCTAATGTTTGAACCTAAAACATGTTCACTGTGTGATATCTATGCCTGGCTCATTTACAAACACTAGGCTTCCAGAGGACCAGGATATTAAAACATTAAAAATAATTCTACAATGCTTTATTTTTTTAAACCAGTTCAGTATTGCTCTAGCCACACTTTGAACCCTTAACATTTTTCATGTTATTATTTTATGCTAGAACAGTCCAGTCCAGTCTCCAAGCCAGTACGCATGAGTGGGCCCCCCTTGGGTTTGTAGTAGGCCATATGGGTAATGAGTGGTCATGGGTTTTATCTGGGCAAACCTCATGGGACACATATGGTTAACTAAAATGGGACCCGTATGGGCTGGCCCATTTGGGCTAAATGTATGGGCCCTATTCAGCAACAATGTGGGCTAACTGGAAATGGGACAGAAATGGGCAACACTATTTGGGGCCCATGTGGTTTCAGTATCATGGGCCCCACATGAGAAGCCCAATGTGGGCTGTCCACATTAAACTAACATGACATGAGCATGGGCTAACCATACATGGGTTGGACCTGGGCAGGAAAATGTAGCCCCTAGTACTTTTTTCATGGTCTAAATGGGACAAAATTGTAGAACATTTTAATCGACAATGTGGTTACCCTGTCACTTTCAAACTTTTCACTGTATGTCAAAGCAAAAGCCAGTTCAGTATTGCTCTTGCTACACTTTGAACCCCTAACTTTTTTTTCATTTTATTATTGCAGTCTGAATGTCTTAAAACATTTTTTTGAAATAATCTGTTTGAAATATATACGTAAACTCATATTCTGGTGCTTACTCAAAATTAAGCACAGAGTGGTCATGGTTGAGCTTTAGTCCTTGTTTTATTTTTAATAATAATAACTTTTTATTTTATTTTTATTATTATTTTTTATCAATTGGATGTTTAGACATCCATAGAGTTTACTGCAGCCTGTTCGCAGCAAGATTTAATTTTTATTTGGACAAATAGTTCAGATCAGACCATTGTGAAAAATATCACAAATGTTTAGAAAATAAACAAAACTCATTAGTAAGTGAGAGACAAGAGTAAAATTTTGAGCATCTGTTTTTTCATATATTTGCAAACATTTTCCAAGTCATCAGTATAAATAAAAATAAAAAATAAAAAACGTAACATTTCTGTTAATGATTCATTTGGTTCCAATTACCTTTTTGTTCATTGTTTGCTCTGAGGCACCGTTGCCAATAAAGGTTGGTGAATTGAAGTACCGGTAGGCACTTTACACATCCACTGAAGAAAATAGTTCCAAAACATATTTGAATAAGGAGGACAACGAATGTATTTATTTACATTGAGAACTTTTGCTACATCGGTTTTACATTTGTTAAACCGATGTAGCACTCTCAAAAATTAATCTTGTGTTTCTTGGAAAACGTAAAATGACCCGCGGATGGATATGCGGTTTCAAAATCAAGCCTGTTCTCTTCATCAGTCCGTTGGCGCGGAGTCTGCCTGTTGGCTGATCTACGAAAGAATCTGTAAGTACATTTCTTCTGTTTTACCTAGTACCAAATTTTAGGGAGAGATTTTAAATCGCTTGTTAAAAAAATTGTTGCTCGTAACAAATCGGACGACAGTATCCCAAAAGAGACTTAATTGTTATTGTTATTTTTGCTTTTCTTTAGGGTGATACTTTTTCTGATATTGCTAACACACACAGCTACACACAATAAGCAGATTTTAGTGCAGACCGATTTCAAACGTTGTGGGCCAAACCATTTTCAAATACCGCCGCCATTCTATTTGTTGAGCTGCCATTGGTTCATTTGAGCGCCAACGAGGCAGAATGAAATCGGTTCACTGAAGAATCTATGTTGCTAGCAGAGGTTGTTACAAAGTGTCTGGACACAATAAAACCATTTGTATGATTTAAAAAGAGTAACTATTGTGCTTTCATTCTATGTACTTGGGCTTTTAATAATCTTTCTCACAGTCACATCAGCATGCATGGGTGGGTCTCATGTATGGATTCAGGCTGGTTTGGCTGGGACCCATGCAAGATTATTATTGTCGTTTTTTTCAATAAAACTGCATTGAATCGTTTAGCTTTGGGCTATATAGGTAATGATAAGAGGGCATGGGTTTTATCTGGGCCAACTGCGTGAGGCTCAAAAGGTTAACCGAAATGGGACTCATATTGTTGGCTCAATTGGGTTAAATGTATGGGCCCAATTCAGCATTAACGTGGGCTAACTGGGCATGGGACAGAAATGGGAACACTATATGTTGCCCATGTGGTTTCAGTATATTGGGCCTAAAAGGTTTTTTGTAAATAGGATGAAGGCATTGTAGTTCATATTTTTAAATTCTTTTTTTAATTGTTGTGTGACACTTTAAAGCGTTTTGTTATGTCATAGTTTATTTCAATCTGCCGCTATTGTGTTGGTCTAGAGTAGTCATCAGTGTCAGGGTTCCTGTGTGTGTATGTGAGTGTCGCATCTTATTTCAGCGAGGATCTTTGTGAGGAGCCCGTGGAGCTTGGCACAGGTGGAGGAGCAGCAGAATCTTCAGTCTACGCTAGATTGACTGAAGATTCTACTGGTGTATGCTAGATGGTTGCATACACCGGTAGTCACTCTGGCCTCTCCTGTTGTGAACAGTTTTTCTGAGAACGTTTCTGTGTCTACTAGAAGTCACCTGGTCTCTGTGTTTGTTCGATCCTAGGGGTTTTGTCGCCTCATTCGAGAACTCACCAGTGAATACCTGCGTGCTCGCTCCGCCGATTCCACTGCCTCCACTCCACCCTTCGAGCTTCCAGCTCTCTTCCATTCCCACCTCGCATTTACCTTCGGAACCGCTGCACACCCTCTCTCAGGAACCTGGCATCTCACACCCACGCCTCGAAAGACCCGCACCGAAGTAAGCCTGTTCCTGTTTCCCCTCCGATCAGTCATTCTAAGCCCGTCATAACTAAGTTATCGTTTCAGGCCAACCTGGTCGAGTGGTCCTCACCCTTCCGCTGATGTCCGGGAAATAGATTTTATTTTGTCCTGTTGTAAATAAATCACTCACTCATCCCTATCCAACGTGTGGTTACTGCATGTGGTCCGTAAATTGAAACCCATCATGTCAATCAGTGGCCAAGCCTGAAACAATATTGAAAGATGAAGAAATTCTTTTTGATATTTTTGCAATATTTAGCTAGCAGTTATGTGAAATGTACTTATATTTAATTGTAGCTCTATTTTTTTTATATGTACAATGTTTTAGGCTTTATTAGTTACATTTATAGTGATTTTCTAAACTTCTCTTAAGAGTAATACTACTGTCTTAGTCCTGTCACGTTAACAAAGAAATTAGGATAATTGCAAAACTGTTCAGTGTTTACAATATAAGGCTTCAGTAGTTAATCTATACAAAGGCTGTTTTGCCTTAATTTTTTTATTTTTTGAAAAGTCTAAATGTTATATTGCACTCATAAAATATATATTTTTGCAGGCTTCAAGAGGATCAGCGTGTGAAGATCACTTTATAATGATTTGAAAAAGGTAATTAATATGTTAGTGAAATTAAGCACATAAGAGTGATATAATAACAAACTGATGAACAAAAACAAAATGTTGTCCTGTTATTGTCATTGTACTTAAGGTTGCCATGGCTACAGAAATTGGAGGAGCATCCTTAGAAGACACAATACAACCAGCTGTGCGATTCCTCATGTCCCATGAACTGGAAGTCCAGTTCAACCTTTTTGGCCAACATTGGAAACAAGCTTGGACCTGCGTCTCTTTGATGTTTTGTATTGTAAATATCAGTTTTTATTGTCAGAGTAACTTTTTTTTTTCACTTTTCTTTCTTAAACATATGTTAATTTATTTTGGTTGTTTTATGCTTTTGTTTGTTATTTTTAGTAATGTTTTTAGGTTAAAAATTGAGTCTTCAATTTTTAATTTTATTTGAACAGTATTCTTTCACTGTTGTTAAGAACTTAAAAATTTGAAGGTAATATTGTTTGCATTTCAAACAATATTAAAATAACCACAAAACCACGATAGAACCTATTAGTTGATTTATATAGATGGATATATTTTAAATTTACAGTAAGAATATAGTTTCTGTACATAATAATGATGACTCAAGAGTCCTTTTGATTATGGCATATCTCTGCAAGCATTTTTGCCCCATGAAGGGGGAGATGCAAATCTCATGAATGTTACATTGTGCTAAAATGAAACACTAATACAATTTGTACCTTTGCTTGTTATTTCAGGGGACTTAAAAGAAATTATCCATCTACAGAATCACACAAGCATACAGCAAAGACTCTCGAAGTGGTTTACTGGAGCCCGAGTGGAAGTGGAAATAGACTAGAGAGACTGCCAGTTCAAACTCAGGTTGGGGAGGTCTTTCAAGATGGACAGTTTCAGTAAAGTATGAGAGATTTCAAATTTAAGCATGCATATGGCATGTAGGTTATTTTTAAAAATGTTTAACAAAAATGTATTGTGAAAGATCTATATAGGTGTGTATATTCACATTGTGTGTATCAATGTGAATATACGTGTATAAAGTTATATAGATAGTATTTAGATGTATACATTTATAGACCTGTAGGAAAATATGTAGGTGTCTTTATTTGTGTGCATCTATAGATATATATTTATAGATCTGTTTATAAGTTTGTTATAGTAAACTAGCTTCTGTTATTTTCAAAGATGTCGTGAATAATTGCAGATTTCTTTTTGTGGCACCATTCCCTGAGTATTAATGAAGTTCTAATAATTGCTGTAGTGAGGTAAAAAATAACTCCTGACAATATTTTAAATTACTAAATAAAAGCCTTGAGCAAAATAAATTTTTCATCTCTTTTTTTTATTTTTTATTTGAACACGTTTTAAGCTAGACTTTGGATTGTTGATCAAGATTGCATATCTATGAATGTAATTCACATCCAGGTTAGATGAGAATTGTTCCTACAGGATTAAGGCATCTGGGTCCCGCTGAAAGCCCAGTTAGCACCCATTGAAATCAACCTGGGCAAACCCATGTGGGGCCACCATGGAAACCGTGGACAAACCCACTTGTTACCCATATTCTAGCCCAGTTCAGACCCAATTGGGACCCAGGTAAATATTCCTGACAGCACCCTAGTGGGCCACAGATGGGCCTCATGTGAGTTAACCATGTGGGACCCACTGAAAACCCAGTCAGCACCCATTAAAATCTACTTGGGCAAACCCATGTGGGGCCACCATGGAAACTGTGGACAAACCCACTTGGTACCCATATTCTAGCCCAGTTCAGACCCAATTGGGACCCACGTAAATATTCTTGACAGCACCCTAGTGGGCCACAGATGGGCCTCATGTGAGTTAACCATGTGGGACCCACTGAAAACCCAGTCAGCACCCATTAAAATCTACTTGGGCAAACCCATGTGGGGCCACCATGGAAACTGTGGACAAACCCACTTGGTACCCATATTCTAGCCCAGTTCAGACCCAATTGGGACCCAGGTAAATATTCCTGACAGCACCCTAGTGGGCCACAGATGGGCCTCATGTGAGTTAACCATGTGGGACCCACTGAAAACCCAGTCAGCACCCATTAAAATCTACTTGGGCAAACCCATGTGGGGCCACCATGGAAACTGTGGACAAACCCACTTGGTACCCATATTCTAGCCCAGTTCAGACCCAATTGGGACCCACGTAAATATTCTTGACAGCACCCTAGTGGGCCACAGATGAGCCTCATGTAAGTTAACCACATGGGCCCCACTGAAAACCCAGTCAGCACCCATTAAAATCTACTTGGGCAAACCCATGTGGGGCCACCATGGAAACCGTGGACAAACCCACTTGGTACCCATATTCTAGCCCAGTTCAGACCCAATTGGGACCCACGTAAATATTCTTGACAGCACCCTAGTGGGCCACAGATGGGCCTCATGTGAGTTAACCACATGGGCCCCACTGAAAACCCAGTCAGCACCCATTAAAATCTACTTGGGCAAACCCATGTGGGGCCACCATGGAAACCGTGGACAAACCCACTTGGTACCCATATTCTAGCCCAGTTCAGACCCAATTGGGACCCACGTAAATATTCTTGACAGCACCCTAGTGGGCCACAGATGGGCCTCATGTGAGTTAACCATGTGGGACCCACTGAAAACCCAGTTAGCACCCATTAAAATCTACTTGGGCAAACCCATGTGGGGCCACCATGGAAACCGTGGACAAACCCTTTTGGGACCCATATTGCCTGCCCACTTATATCCCATATGGGGCCCACCTAGGTGTGCTGGCTGGGATTAAAATGAAAGAGCGGAAAATAAAAGGTCAAATTCTTTGCGGGACGACAAAATAAAGAACAAAAAAAATAACGTGTTGTTCACGATCGATACAGTGAACAACTTTTGCATTCCAATACAGAGATTTGTGTTTTAGTTTTCCTTCCTTCCTTTCTCTCTCTCTCTCTCTCATGCCTACAGTGTTTAATGTCTCAGAAAAACTTGAGAAATTGAACATTAAGTTTATATTGTTTTATTTGACCCTGTATGTTTTATCACAGTGTGAACTCGGCCATATAGACGTATGTCGACCGTTGTGTTTTGTGTGTTTGAAGGAGGGTCGAAAAGAGGACGGCAACTTCGGAAAAGAAGGTTTAACAAAAGTAGAAACGTGAAAACTTGAACAAGGTCGATAGGAAACCGAACGTGGAATAAGTCACAGGCATCGGAAGAATCCAGAAGAGAAGCAACGAGAAACCGAGAGCATGAAAACTGAGGCGGGGGTGGGAAGTGACAGAGGAGCTGGAAGAGCCACACAGAGGTGATGCAGAACAGCTGTGGCAGAGAAAACTGAAGGAGAGAGACTTAACAAGACAAAGGGAACTGAACTCAAAGGATCTGGGAGCCTATGAAACATGAACAAAAACAAAAAGAAATGGAAAACCTAAACACCCCAGGTTTTATTCTAAGCTGCTGCATTATATTTAATTCCAAATATTTAGTATTTTAATTTGTGATGGCAATCGATTAAAAATGCAATCATATCACACTGGCCCTGTGATTAATCGTTATGCCTAACTTTGTGAGCTTGAAGCATAAATATGTACTTGGTTGTGGTTCTTGGCAAGCTCCGCCTTCCGCTGCACTCCAACCAATTAAAATGTAAGCAATTATTAGATTTTTTTTTTTTTTTTTTTTTTTTTTTAAGCAAAAAGCAGGTAATGTATTCTCCCTTTGCTCAACAGCAGCCAGTGGAAACTCACTTCACTACACATGCTGCAAATAGTTGCAAACTTGTTCAAATATATTCTATTTTCTAGGTGCCCCATCCCGTTTTGATGCCCTGGGCAATTGCCCAATTCAAAACCCTCCAAGGTGTGCATGTTTTCAAAAAGCGTTAACTAAAATGTTTTATTGTCTCAAGTCAAACATGTCTGAAGTTTCTCAGATTTCTTGGTTTTTATATTCAGGAAGGTAAAAACAAAGTCATTTTATTTAAAACGTTAACTGAAAAAAATCTCAGAGCCTCCGTCCATTTTGTACGGAGTTTGTGCGGTGAGGCGCCAGTCGCTTGACGTCGTCATCAAACCGAGTCACTGGCGTAATGCGTGATGTCAGTTCAGTGAAACGGCTGTGAAATAGAAAACCCTCTGCCGGACAAAGAGAGGCTCCTAAGTCAAAACAGACACTCCGATTAGTCTGCATTATGTAATGTTGACACGTTAAAATGTTCAAATTAATCACACCTATGCGCTAACATTGACAGCCCTAATTTTAAGTTAATTACCTCAAGTTTGAAAGAAATATAAATTCCTCCACTTGGTCATGAAAAGAATTTTTTTTTAAACTTCTTCAGTTTGAAGAATCTGTGGCTTTTCTCTGCATTGAGCAGATTTAAAACACAAGTACAGTGTGTTTGTATGAAATCACTTGGCCGTCACTAACCTTTTAAATGTTTGAGAATATTCCCCGCCTGCGCCACACAAGGCGCGATGTGTTTCAGGATACTCTGAAGTGTAATCGGTTGGGAAGACTTTTCCTCGGGCACTGAAAGGTTGCCAGGTGCTCAACTAAATCACAAACGAGTCGGCGAGCTGCAGTTCTTAAAATACGGCAAAGGTCACACTGGAGGATTTTCATAAATACGGAATACAAAGGTTGAGAAAAGATTTAAAAGAGGGAATTTAGACCAAATTAGGTCATGACTGGGAAATGACAAAGTGAGCAAGGCCTTGCCATCACAGTTTATGCAAAAAAAAAAAAAGGTCTGAAAAGTAACATGAACGTTTCTGTTTTTCTTGAAGGGGAGGTAAACACACATTTCTGAACCGCAGCAAAACATTCTGTCGACATTGATTGAAGTGAGAAAAAAACAAAGCAATCAAAATCAAAGGTAATCTGGTTATTTTTCTCTTTGTTGCTTTGGAATATAATATATATATATATATATTTTTACTTTTCATAACCTACTTTTCTGTGTGTGTGGAATTAAACCCAAGCTTCAGGACAGCACATATTGACCACATGTCAATTTTTTACCTGCCACTCAGGGAATTTGCCCACACTGTGACAATCAATGACTTGAAGGAATTGTATATCATCGACCAATAACCCAACTGTGGAGACGTGTGGCTATGTGACTCTGATAAGAACTGTTTACAGTCT